ACGGCTTACAGTCGGTATCGTGGCAAGCAGCCGGGGCGGTCCCGAGAGAGATAGTGTAAGCCCACTCGTGGCATTTTCACCGTTTTCTTCATGAATCAGTCGCTGACCGAATACCATTGGTAAGCGGTTAGACGCGGGATTTTTCAGCCCATCCTGACGCCGCTCCGATGGATTGCGACGTCTGTACCTGTGCTGCATCAGGCGCGTTTTAAGTCTGTTCCGAGCAAATGGGTTACAGCCAGTCCTGAAGATCCTACCGTACCACTTGCACGTGATTGAATCTGCCTAGTTCATTCTCCAAATTTTTTATTTCAGCTCCGGAACATTCTTGAGCACTACTCACTGCTGTTAAGGCTTGGGTGTGAATCATTGATTCTTCTGACTACATGGTTAGGGTCAGCATAAATTAGATGTATAGCTCCAAAATGTAAAAAGCTGACTTACCCCACCCATTACGTCCTTTCCGGCCATCAGGTCGCCTCCCTTGCTGAACAGCCCTTTGAAACCTTTACTCTTGTTCTTTTCACCATGTCGCTTCTTTCCGAAAAGTTTTCTGATGATCAGGTATGCTATGAGAAGAACCACGATAATGGCGATGATACCAAGAAACACGAACGCCCATTCTGGCACTGAAATATGCAGCAGTTAGTTGAGAGCTCAAGGAAAAGAATAAAGAAATGCATAAAGGACAATTTATCATGGAGATGATGCAAGGAGCTCCACATTAAAGTCCCACGATTTTGCGAGAAACTAATTTTTTATTACGTTTTGTTCTCAGGCTACTTGATTCACATTGAGTAGCTGGAAGAACAGGGAAGTAAGGCTTTTGCATTGCAGAGTCCACTGCGAAGCAATCAAGAAGTGGGGTGATTGAATTATCCTCTCTATTCTGTCTCATATGGTGAGAGGAACGAGGTCGAGTTTTCGACTGGAGACCAGCTGAGTCCGAGTTCGCATGCATGCCTTTTCCGTAACACTTCAGACCGCTTTATACCGGTTTTCCATCACAGCCCATCAAGACTTCCGTTCATATGTTGACAAGTAAGATCTGAGTGGGTAACCCGGCAAAAGGAATGGCGCGAGCAGGCGTGGATCGAGCGGGGTCCCTGGCATCGAGGTTCCATCAAGTGACGGCGTCATCAGCCAGCAACAGTTGGATGGAAAACGATGCCGTGGCTGCGCTTCAGTCAGCGCAATCATGACATGGGAACTACTCTAGGAATCTGAAGATTTCTGGGAGTGACCTTTCAAAGGCACGGTTAGCGATAAGGAGCGTAGATAGTGGTGTTGAAATATGGAAGAGAAGTTGCAAAGTGACTCATCTGCATGCGAAGTGAAACGTGGTCAAGGCCTTTAATGAGACCCCTTCGGCCTCAAACAATTGTACGGGCAATGGCTGAAAATCGTTTGTTGGGAGGAGAGCGGTTGACTGATTGCTTGTAGAGCCCTAGGCCCTCACCCTATGCTTCTATAGAGTGAGAATCCAATTCATGCTAATTGTGTGGTAGCATCGCTTTTGGCTCAAAAGCAGACATTGAACGAGAGTGTGGACCTGGAGGCGGAGTCACTGGAAAAAGGGAGGGCTACGGGAGCAAGCTTGCATCTTACCTTCTTTACCTTACAACTTTCCTCCGCCAAAATGGTGCACGGTTGTCCACTGTTGCCCACACCACCCTTCCCACATAATCTTTTGCATTTTCCTAGAACCGCTACTTCAAGGTCAAGATGCACGCGCAGATTTCTATAACATACCATTAAATTCCAACCAATCTCACACGATTACCCCTCGCCCCATCAGCTAATGCTCATTTACTCAAAAACAGCAGACCACCGTGCCAGGGAAACGTGCAACACTGAACTATTTCTCGGTGCATCAAAGTCGACGCTAGTCTTGCGTTGAGCACATGGCCGCGGACTTTATGAGCTTTCAGTCCAAACACGTG